ATATGTTATTCAGACTCTCGGACTGAAATTGGACACAAACATAATGAAGAATTTGTTATAAGGGTTTTGGCCATTTAGTAATTGAATGTGTATTTAGGGGCAGTTCACTTACATTAAGAATTTTTTAGATAACTGCTTTACAACCTCACTGAACCCTTTGCCAACCAAAATTAGTTTATTACCAATTGTTATATAGCCCTTTTGAAGTAAATTAAGATCTGCTGACACAAACTATCGGTTAAAGAATAGAACTTTAATTGTCAGTTATCTTTTTAAGTAAAAAGTAAATTATATTTGGAAGTGTAAAGTGATAATCGAGCCTATTCATTGGTATAGATGATTTTACTGGAAAATGTCCTGCTTTAGAGTAAACGTACCACAGTGATGAGCAAACCAAAGTTATATAGCAACAATAGTAACGCTTAGGTTCTCACGTTCGTAACGCATAGACGTATGATGCGTTGTTCTATTTACCTTTTCATGATTAGGTACATGTCAACTAGACGCAAGTCACGTCACATGCGTCTGCTATTAGTTACTTGCATTGACTTCGTTGTTTGTAATCTATTAATTTTGCGTAGAGCGCATGGAAGAGGAAAATACGTTGTGGTGAAGCTAAAAGAAGAAAGGAAGACTCTTTTTTTCTTTTTCGATAAAATGCACGTAGCAATGATCAGCTCGTGGATTTTTGGTAAGCTAGTGCCTGCATTCATTCATTTCGTAAACGTTAATATGGTAAATTTCATGGCTGTGTTTTTGTTCAGAATATTCTTCTGTTGAAGCCGGTAGTTGAGATTCTGTAACACCTCAGTGATGAAGGTCCTTGCCACTTCTCAGGATAATAATAGCAATTCTTGAAGAATTATGCTTTTACGATCAATGAACCTATTTTATTAATGAGCGATTACTACCAAACGAGCAACTTGGATAATAGAACGGTATATGTAAGTCGAAACTAGCACAAACACTAAGTAACCTGTCAGTCACAAGCCTAAAAAGCAAAATTGGATGGGTGTATTGATTCTAAGCAAATAGTTGCCTTGAACGTAATATAAGTTATAGGAAACATTATTAACTTGAGCTCTTCACGAAGGCGACTTCGACTCCTCTAAGTGGCCGTTCTGACGGCCCCTGAAGTGCTGGCATCTAACTGTACTTTGAGATTCAGTTAGCATCATGATACCATTGACTTCTTATGTTATCAAAAACATCACTTGATTTTTCGATATAGACTATCGCGCCTTGATGATTTTATTGCTACTTTTCAATGATATAGTATCAGGAAAGGTAAGTGTAAAACTTAAGAGGTCTAGACTTACATTGCGCTCATCACACCACAGTCACCCAAGTCATTAAGGAGTGAGTGACGGTATCTGGAGCCCTTGCTTTTTAAGAACAAAATATAAAATTTAGTATCAATTTGGCCCGCATGCAATAATGATCTACCCTTAGCAGATTCTGTAGTGTTTGATTTATTGTTAGCTTATTATTGCAAATTAACTAAGATGTTTATAATTTTTGTTGTTCGATATTTTTCTTTTACAGATGGAGGAACAGCAATTAGACCAGGCAGGTGCTGCGACCACCGGGGCTGCTGCACCTGGAACAGGCGGTGCAGGTGGCCTGGATGAAATTGAGTTGTCCATGGCCGATAAAATTCGACGTTTGGTTTCTACTGACGAGGAGTGGGAAGCCGTTCTTCTACAGAAAATGGAAGAAAAGCGTAATAGAGGTTAGTATGAATGGCAATTGCATAAATATACGGCCATCTTAATGTGTGGTTTAGTAAATGCTACTTCAGCTAAATTATCTCTTTTGACAATTGTTGAAATTCTACTTAGTTGAGCGTTTCAGCTTGGCTCGCAGCTATCTTGTCCTATTAAAAGTCAGATAAGCATGCATCAGTAACCCCAAGAAAGAGTTTACTTAAAATATAAGATTTAAATGAATGCGTGGACTCAATCTTTAACAGAATTACCAGTATTAGTCTTAGAATCCAACTATACATATAATACATATAACATATGGCAGCAATTGTTTTATTTGTCATACTTCATTAGTTATTAATCATAATTTTTTTCATAGGAGTTTAACTGTAGGGTGCCTTATGCACTAAACTGTATGGGTATTTGCCCAGAAGTACAAAACCTCCTCTTTCCTCGTAGGGGTCACTCACACTCAGCCTTCTTCCTACTCCCTCAGGAACTGTTTGCACATTAGTTCTGTGGCCCTAAGACGCGACCACTTATCGCCTCTTATTGAGTTGGATCACTATAAGACCCTTAATGATCGCTTCTCTTTCCATTGAGAAAATTGACGTCCTGGACATCGGCCGTCGCTCTTTTCTTTTCGAGCCTTTTTCCACTTTCTGTCACCTTGCTTACATCTATATCTAGCGTCTGCGTTCATATATCTTCGCTTTGAATTATATCGATGGCCACAACACTATGCGTTACGTTTAGAGCAACGAATTCCGCACAAGCGACCTCAAAAATTAGATAACAATAGAATACAGTCTATCTCCTATCGTCGATTACACCTGTATCGTACGGCACAAAAGTGGTGCTCTTAGCCTCCTTTAATATGTGCAAGTAATTTTCCATGTTTGCTCAAACCTTGTCTTAGGTGGGATGTGATGGAACTACAATTCGTGCTGAACCACTCAGTCTATTTAGAGATTAAGCGAAGAGTCCATCCTTGGGAGGCTTTTCAGTAGGGTGCTTTATTCCTGCTGCTCTTCTCTCTTAATTTCTTGCGCCTCGTTCGTTAATGCTCCTTCAGCCTGGTTCTTTGCTCGATCAATCTCAGCTAAGAGCTGTGCCAAAGCAATTGCGGCATAGCTTTCCTCATGTTGCAGGCCTCGCTATCCCTATAACTAGGATCTTCTGCACTTTCAGAAGTTCTGCCTTGTTTTGTTTCTATCTCATCGCGGTGGGGCCTTATGTGGGTACTGCAGATCGCACGATTTCCAGACTATTGTCCCTAAGAGTTTACGTATTCTTTTGTAGCTCGTCATACTTTTGGAGGGATACCGGCTAGTCTGTTCGCCACTTCCCTTGCCCTTCGACTAGCTCGTCTTGTAAGTGGGCTCCTTTGAAGCCTTATTCTACCGTAACGCCTAGATACTGGTTCGACTTTATAATATCTACTCCATTTAGTGAGAATGGGTCTATGCGTTTTGCTTCCAGTTAGTAGCGCTGCTTCACTTTTTTCCGAGGTACCGAGTACTCCACCGATGCGCTCATTTTATGTACAGCTTTCTGTGCATTGCTGTGCAAGTTGTCCTTTTTTACGGCCTGACTAGAATGGGCTATTTGATTCTTATTTGCCATCGTCCTTCCTCAATATCAAATAGCCTAAAAATATCATTAACTAGAGTCCATGGCAGGGGCACTCATCCGGTAGTTATGGCATATTCTCTCATTCCAAAGGTGACTGCGTAATGTTATTTAATAAAGAATGCAATCAGTCTAGTTTTTTTCTAAAGGTCCAAAATCGTTATCTTCGTTAATTGCGTTTATTATCATAAGCCATTTTAGAAAAGAATTGTAAGTGTTACATGCATTTAGTAAAAATAGATCAACCGATTTCCTTTGTAGCTGATTGCTTCCTTTACGAAGTAACTTTGGCTCACTATTTTGGTTCCGCAGAAGATTTCCGAGTTTTCCTGTAGGAGGACTTTCGTCGCGTCGACGGTATTACGCCTAGTTTGGAGGCTCTGCTTTTTCTAAAAAAACTTTTAATCACAGCCTGGACCTCTTCTTGAAAGAAGAAAGAAATTTCCTTGTTTTCTGTGTTGTCTCCCGAGCATGTGGGCTTCCTCAGGCGGTTTACTTTACCAGTTTTTACGCCAGCATTGGCTTTCTTAACCTACCCATCTCTCATAGCGTTTTTTTTTATGTCGTTCTTCATTATTTTGGCAATTCCTTTCTGTTAGTAACACCTGTTTTTCATTGTCGCTCTCTTCGCTTGGAACTGTACTTTAGCCTCTAGGGTGCTCGTACCTTTCCTTCTAACGTTATGCTATCTTGCACAACGTTATTACCATGGCTACTATTATAGTTACATTATAACGTGGCAAAAGTTTATAATATCTTTGTAGTGTTATTCAGCCATGCTGAATTCAAAACTAAACCCATGCGTACATCGCAATTCTAATGTTCTTGTAAGAAATAAATTTTCAATTCTTCTTGTGCAGAGCCTGGTGCAGAACCTGCTCCTTCGGCAACACCCATGCAACAGGCGGCGGCGATCGGAGGCGCTTTAGGTAACCGCGTCACTGGGCTGTTTGGAAAGGCTAAGGGTATGGTGCCTCCGGTGAATCTGCCTAACATGCCGAACATACCCATCCCTGGTCTTAAAAAAGGTCAGTAAAAGCATTGAAGGGCTTGAATGAATTACTTTTGGGAAGTTCTGAATGAGCCGTTGACTAACTTCTAACTAGCAGGCCACATGTATACAGGGTACGGTACATAAACTGGGACTTGCTAAAATTTTTATACTATTCATAAATAGAAACAGATTGGAAAAAATATTTTACAAATACTCAAGTGTCCTTTTTATTTAATGCAACAACCATTCAGTGCGGTTACAGCTTCAATACGGACTCTGAACCTTTCAAAAATTTGTTTGAAATTTTCGTTTTGGATTTCTGCGCACGCTTCCTTAATAACACGAGTCAGCTAGTCGACGTTGTCATCTCAAGACTTGTTGATCTCTGCTCAGTAACGTTTCATATACAGTTATTTAACGAGTTCAAACTTTAACTGTTTGTCGACTATCTGAGTTCACCGCACGGCATATTCGTATTCTCAGACAACCAATTCTATACGAGTCGGCTTGTATAAGTCGAGGCACATCTTCTTGGTCTTCACTCAGACGTTTCAGTTATCCAAGGTTGTACAACATAGAATATGCAGAGAAGCTTCACTAGTGATAAGCTCGTTCTTGGAAGCAGCGTGGTGGCATTGCGCCTCCTTCACAGGACACCACATGAACCTTGACCGAACGTTTGCTCCTACCCACAATATGCATCGCCTCTGAATCAAAGACAAACCAACGGTCTTTTCTGCGACTTATGCTTGCATTGAGGATAAATATTTCTCGTCAAAATAGACCTGCTATTTCAGGCGTAAAGGAGTAGTAAATACCAGCCAAATTGGTTGGTTTAATTATCCGTAGGGAGCATCTCTTTGACTTTACGACATACGACGCATACCTGAAGTCTTCGTGGACAACCTGTGACATCGCACCCTCACTCACACTAAATTTCTTCACTTATCGATTGCTCAAAGCAGAAAGAACATTGCATAAATGCAATTTTGGATGACAGAGAAGAACTTTGTAGTGAGCATTTTTTTGTTTTTGGAACTTCGCTTCAGGCTTCTTCTGCAGCCACGTACTTACTTGCGACGCGTTACACTGCTGATTTAAGGTTATATCGGTGGGAGTGACTCGGGTGCGTAGAAAGGAGCTTATTTTCACTCAAATTTCAAAAAATGGCGCGCTGTTGATCGCCATGACGAGTTCGCTGCAGAAAGAGCTTATTTTCATTGGAACAAGTGGCGGATAAACGCATTCCGGTTGCGATAAAAAGTCCGCCAAAATCTGTCCCTTTTTAGATGCCGCACCGCGCCGATATAAAGGCAGGCGCAGTTAAATGGGATAGGAGCTATTTGGGCTGGTTTGTTTTTTCAGGCAAAAGTGCACTAGTTGTAAATCTTAACATTATCTAATTTTTAAACTCTCTGAGATGCATATGAATTAAAATGTGGCTCGTGTATGTAGCTCCATGTGGGCCCATGAACGAATGACACCATTACCTATTTCGCACGAAATAATCTTGGCCCAGACAGCTCCCTTGTGGACCTATATAGACTAACGACTGAGATGTAACGAGCGGGTTGTCTCTAGCAACGGGGATGCGTCTATTCTTTATCCTCCACTTTATGCTAAAAACAAAGCTATGTTTTGACGCCAATATTGGCCTAACACGAGCGAAGATTAGCCATTAACGATTTTTCCCGCGCTACACGAACAAACACAAATATTTCGTTCGTTGCCCAAGATTGACGATCTACATTTCTCCATGCAGGTTCTGAAAAGTCCGACGAAGGCTTCCGTGGGACGAACCAGAAGATCCTTGACAAGTTTAGATTTAAAAAATTCGAAGGTTCATAAAAATGACTTAAGAAATATTTTTGGTGCACCTAGGTTTTTGATCTATTTAGATGAATTCCACGATTAGTCTTTGACGTTTTGTGCCCTTGAACTCAATGGCGGTTTTGAGCCTATGTATTTTTAGGATTCCTGACCTACTATGAGCCCTAAATTTAATTCTATTACAATCTTCGGTAAGTAACCTATTTGATAGGTACATTATTTTTTACAGCTGTCAACATCGCTTGACGCACGGTTGCTGTTTTGGAAACTATTTGCGAGATAAAAAAATTTCATAGGTGATTAGCCAGTGGTTTGAGTGTCGAACCGAAGCTGTAATTATGGTGACTGGTAATTACGTTATATAACAAACATGGTATATGTCCATATTTGTGTATATCATGCATAATTAGCACGAGTAAAAGCTTAGTAGAGTAAACTTCAAGTCGATGGCTGAATAAATCTCAAACGAAAACTGGATGGCATCGAAGAATCAATTGAAGCTTTGAGCCACCCTGTGTTCATATACTCTTATATATTTATGCCAAACATTTCGGCAGCTTTTAAAACTAACTATATCCTTATAAAAGAAATATTGGGTTCAGGTACGCATTGCACAAAGGTGCCTGCTATCGTATGCTGTAACAATCATCATCGTGTAAATCCCCGTTTCAGGCGCAGCAGCTGCTGAGGGCGCACCAGATGCTGGAGGTGAATACACCCAGATGAGCAACGAATAGACCTTAGACCTTCGCTGCGCCGCACTGCCATCAGTTCCACCGACATCGTTTAGAGTGATACTAACTAACGCTTTTAATAATCATGATGACGCGTCGTTAGTAATAGCGCAACGCGATCCGCGACTTTACAGCCTTCATAGGCCATGTGCTCTCGTTACATGCCCTTACCGATTCTATGCTCTAGAGAGCTTGTTAAAAGGGGTACGAGGGTTGCCACCAAAGCAGTCATAGTCGTTCAGTACATATGGATATCGATGAGGGTTCATTATTACATGCATGCTAGATGCTAGACGCTACCATCATCCACTGGATACATCCACTGGAAGTAGCAAGCAGTCAGCAAGCGAGCGCTATCTCGTCAAGTTGCGGACGTGTCCAGCCATACGTTTTGTTCTACCACACAATCCCGGCCTTCAGCTGTGGGTGACTTCAGGCACATCAGGCGTACCCCATAAAGTCTACTCTGACAATCGTCCTTCAACAACTAGGTTGGTCAGAATACAAGAGAAACAAAATACGCAGTAGATAGTTCAATTTCATTGTATATGTTGTATTCTTTATCCACTTCGTTTTTCCCACCGTCTCCCTTCACCTGTATCGTTGCTGTTGTATGCTATAGCTGTTTTTGGTCTGATTGAACATCTGTCTATTGTCAAACCGATAAACATATCTATGCACTCTAGCTGATCGGAAGGCAATGCCTATGGAGGGTTCGATTATCGAGGAATGGCAAAATGTCGCTTTATGAAGTCGACCGACGGCCAGAGGCGAAGTCCCACTAAGTCCGTATTAAATTGAGAAATGGCGGTGTACTCGCGTCACCAGGTTAATAATAATTATTTTAATAAATAGTACTAGACACTCATGGCCGAGCGGTCAGTAACGAGTGCGGAATCCGTTTTCCGTTCAGTTTGTTCAGTAAAGTGCAGCTAGACTGAGTACTGCGGCTGCTAAATGTGTTCTTGCGTGACCGCCATTCTGATAGCAGATTGGAGAATTGCTCGCAAAAAAATAATAATGATAGGGTTTTCCTGCCAGCCATTTCAGGGAGTCCTCACATATGCTTTGCCATGTGTCATTTTTTTTTAAATCTTTCCTCTGGGTTTGCTAAAAATGTCCTGGTATGTAAAGATCACCTTGATCATAGTCAGAGCGATTATCCTTCCTGTTATCAATTGAATGAATATATTATCAAAAACAAAAAAAAAACTCCGTGGTCACGCGAAAACGTCAGCGAGGGAGAAACCTCATAACCTCGTCTTAGTTTTTGTCGAGAAATCTTACTCAACCTTGAAAACATCAATACATTAAATCGAGCATCTATAAGCTAATTCTCTTTTCAAAACTAGGACAACACGAAAGCACACATTCTCACCTTTTAATCGCAAAGCGAGACTGAAAAAAATCAACCAAACAAATGTCACTAAACAACAATCACAATCAGCAACTGCCTCAATTTGGAACTAAGAAGATGACACTAAAAGGCCGAAAACCTGTAACAACTTCGAAAAGCATTAGATAATGAATATTATCAATAGTCACGTTCACTTAATATAAGATTGTACCCATATAGCGTATATGTTATCAGCCGTTATCAGTCTCATAGTACGATTAATAATACGAGCAGGATAAGCCGACTTTCCAAGAACGCATATAGAATCCTCACCTGGAAAACCATGTACTAAGATGATGCCACAGTCCAGATCAGTTGACTGTAGGGCATATATCAGGGCAGTCTAGTCCTTCGGTATTTGATAAGTAATATACATATGCATATATACGTTAATGTCTATTCCATGATATCTTCATACATTTGTTCATTAATTCGTTCACGATAAACTAGGCAAAATCATAGAAAGGGATCGTCTATTGACTGTTCGTTTGTAACAATAACACGCTACTTGTAGCGTGTTATTGTTACAAACGTACCATCGTAGCGAACAAAGATAGGTTGCATCTACATAAAGTGGGGAATTTTAAATCGCAAGAAGTGTAAGGATAATTTCGGTTGGTCAAAAATATCCTGTTATAATATGTGTAATTATTACGGAATAACAGAGAATAAAAACTCTGTGGAGGAACATGGAGTATGTATGCTGCTAAGTGACATGCACACAGAAAACGCTGATGCTGCAGTGATGTAAAGAAAAAGGGTATGATGAATAGTTTTACCCATAGTGAATTTCAAATGAATCTGAGTATGAATTTCGTTAGTATTGGCGGCCATTGAAAAACACCAAGCTATAGAATTACGTTAGAATATGACACTAGCAATATTTAGAACGATTCAATTCTACGTAAGTACAATATAAAATATAATCAAATTATTAATAAATATATACAATTAAATACATTGTCATAATAAAATTATCTATGGAAAAACACTCTGGTAGTTGAGAGATACTCTGATAGGCCAAGAGATATGGAGCCTGTGGGTCACCTGGGGAAAAGCAGGATCGTTTGTTACCGCCTGCGAGCATTCATTTAGTCTTCAATATTCGAACAGATCGAAAAAATCGTGAAAATAAAACAAATAACAAACGGCTGTGAACCGAATGTCCGGTATTCGCTGCAACAATAACATAAAGGATGGGTCACTTTGATTGGACGTCCGGGTCGCGGCGTTAATAATTGGTCTATAGCATGGGTCGAAATGACGAGCATAGCAATGACCTGTGTCGGACTAGATAAACACTGAATGAAGGATAATAGGTGAAGACCTTGAAATAGACTTCAGTATACGACCAGCTTCTTCTTATAGTCAGATACGATGTTTGACCTCGTACTTTCACAACTTCTGATCATAAAAATAAATTTAAGCTTAATGGTAAGGCATGAAGGGAAGCGTTGCCAGGTGAATCATTTCCGAAAGTGCGCTCGGTCTACTACTTTTCAACCAAAGAGAATCATGAGAGGCAATGAAACTAGTTGATTTTGGTCAGCAGCTGCTGACATTTGTCGCCATATTTTTTCTTTCCCAGGAAGGAGAACATTAATAGCTACAACAGTACCATAACAGCGACAGCAAAGAAACTTGTTAGTCTTAATAGGGCAGAGATGTTGCCTTGTTCTCCTGGTCGCGAGAGTTCTGTGGCAATTTTCCTATAAGTAAAATGCCCTTCCGATCCGACTGGAAAACGCAGAAGATAGTGTAAAAAAGGATATCCAGTGGCCCCGAGCATACGTTCCTAAAGGACGGAAGGCCCGCTTGTTTCTGTCGAAGATTAACATATTGGATTGAACCGCAATGGCAGCAAATAGCCACCGTTAGAAATAACCGCTGCCATCGAATCAGTGGATAGCCACGTACACGAGCATAAGCAGAAACAAATGCTGTCGTTGTGGGTACTTCTGCGGATGATTAGTTCAGCGAAAAGGAAGCTCTATCGCAGAATACCAGCGACCTTTTGCTCAGAGTCCTCATGACAGAAGAAGCCGTATCGACGACGGAACGGATATCCTAGGGTCCGTTCAACGATCTGACAACTAACAAATTTATTGATTTTGCCCAGTGCAATCGGGCGTATAGGAGAAAGGGCTCCTTTAATGTCGGTAGCCCAAAAGCAATGCAGTGGAAGTAGCTGTTTATTGAACAGCCTTGAGCAGTCCGCCATTTGGACGATGATTGCGACGACGGCGACAACTACAGTAACAAAAAAATCATAATGGTACTAATAATAACACTAAAATAACAAATAATAAGAACAATAATAACAACAAAATTGCCTATTAACAATTATAAGTACTAATGGCTATAAAGCAAACACGTATGAAGTAATAACAGACTATGTAGAACAACTGCGTATTGCCATACTGTGTACTGGTTTTATTAATTGTTTGTTGGACGCATTAGTAGCGATTTTTTGTAAATTTATTAGCACACATAGTGTCACATTATATAATTAATTCTAACTAATTATCATAATTAACCCAAATAAAAAAGAGGAGACTTTGTTGATGATTGATAGAGCGAGCCTAGAACGATAAGAGTTTGCAAGAGTTTACTGCGCAATGTTTTTTTCTTATTACTACTGTTCATTGCAATGTGTGGTATTATTGCCCCTGCGACAACGCGTTTAATAAAGGCAGATGGTGCTACTCGACAATAGAGCTTTGTTATTGTTTTATTAGACTGCGCGAAGCTATTTAGCAGGCTTGACTTTTTTTTGGCCTTTGCTTGCCTACAGTGGTACGCTGATTAAATACCATTAGAGAATTGTGACACTTTTCAAAATTAACTGCGGTTAAGTGAGAAAATTGGTGGAATTTGTTGAAGACTGGCTAAAGCACCGCAGAAGAAGGCCGACAGTTCGTTATTACCGCAGGTAAATTAGGAAGTTGGTGACCACATAGAACTTGATTACATCTAAGTTCCTGTTATGGCAGGAGCTGTTGAGCAAGACAGAGTGTAGGCAGTGCGTCCCCCATAGATTTAATTTTTTCGAAGCATGGAATATTAGATCGTAATGAAAACACTAAACACTTTGAAGAAATAGATGGTATACCCTGGAGGTAACCTGCGTTGTATACGCACATGGAATACGCTACTTCTTACGTCTGATATAAGTCATCAATCTTTTGATTCAATTGCACTAATAATCAACCGGTGTTTCGCTGGAAGCCTCATTGCCGTGCGTTTTCAACAATCCTCAAGCGACTTCGGGAGCGTTTCCACCTTCACGAAACAGAAAGCAAACCATAGAGTGATGATCCTTGCCTTCGGACTCGTCATTCCGTAGTCAGTTTATAAACAGATGGTTAAATATTAATAACTCTTTGCGGTTTGCACATAGTTTGAAAGCTATTCAAATTTTTTGACCCGCTAAATAGCTCCATACAGCAGAATATGATATGCAATCATCATCATTACCCATTTGATACTACACATCGTATTTGAAATTTATACCAGTATTTCGGATCGCGCACGAGAAAAAGGTGTTTTTCTGCACGTCCCGTTGAATGTTTGTTGAAAGACCATCTCATAACACCCAGCATTTCTTAGGGCAGAAGTGGAATGTATTCAGGTAAAGATGTAATGCAATACATTTACCCCGTTATACTCGACAGATGCACCTGTCGATATATTTCATTTCTGTTGTATATTTAGATTGGTACTAGCGAGGGGTCTAGCGGAATGATTATCACTGATAGGACCCAGTTTCTGTGATAGGTAAAAATAAAGTAAAAATACATAGCCTCGATAACAGACGAGGGAGTCGCTAAAGTCCAGTAACAGTGTGTACAGAATGTATCTACGGCAGGGAAGATGTCGAATGGCAGGTAATCAAATAGACAGCTTGCAGGCCGTTTGGAGCTGCGGTATACTTTTAAAAACTCCAATATTGGACATATTTATTTAGAGTGAGGTAATATCATTTAGGGGTAGATAGGTGAAGTTTGACTGACCCGACCACGATCTATGGTGCAACTAATTGGGCTGGAATTATGATTTTTTAATATGTGTCAGTGGTAATCTTCTTTATTTTTCCTATTTGTGTTAGCGCTTTGACAGACGGCCAAATTCCTACTAGTTGCGTTTCCATATGTAATTTCCTTATATACGGCTTCTCGAAGTAGATCAATGGTTGGACATGCTTGCCCACCAGTTATCCTTTTAAGGACATGGAAAGCCCTGTAATAACAGGGACACAGATTGAAAAAATAAGCAGTTTAAAGCCAACATCGGATATTTTGTTACTCAATCTATTGCAACACGTGAAGTGCGTCGGCATAGGCGATAGACTCGAACTTTCGCTTTTGTAAAACGTCGCCATGTGTTGTTATCCATTGGGTGCCGACGTATGATCAGCTCTTCACTGGTATTCACGTTCGCGTTGCTCACGTACTGTTCTCTCAACTGAGGCCTTCTTATATAATGTCTTCAGCAATCTTCGACAAATTTCCGCAGCACTGTGAAAACTTTTAAAAACAAAAACTCGGCCATTAAGCGTTGATTTTCGGATCTTTTTTTTTTTTTTTTTCGTGTTTTTTTTTTTACTTCATTTGTCTTCGACTAAGCTGAATCGGTGTTCATTCACAAGTTTCTAAAGGACTGGCGTATACCAGCCGGATTCGGCATGTCGGCGGTGCATTATTCTTATTCATTTTTATATCGAAAGTCCGCCGAATTCGCTTGAAACAATTTAATGTTTAATATCTAATGAAGCATTGAAGATCAGCTTATATAAAAATAAATAAATAGGAAACAATGGACCGCAGTTACGCTAGAAGAGCTTTGTTTAAATGCTGGCACAGCTTAAGCAGATGTAAAAAATATTTTGTATACCTTCAAAAGCAAAGTACGGAACGACATTTGACAAATAACGTACGTAAGCTAATTGAATTAGAATCTATCCACAGAGTACTTACAGAGATAAGTGTAAGTGAGCTCTAGCCGCTACCGTCCTATTCTTTTAAAAAAAAAGTAGTTAACGAAATCAATGGCGTCCGGCACTGGAAATGCGCCAAGCTTAATATAAGCGAGCGTGCTGTGGGCATTGCTTAAAATTCTTTTACTATGACTCGATGCCATTGTTTCTCCTATCGTACGGCTACCACCGTCTCTCGAGTCACGAAACCGTTAGAAAGTTCCACCGACGAAACTGTCGATGCAGAGAACAGGGACCTTATCAAAGCTCATCGACAATACTGCTGTGCCCTTTGTTAATTTAAAACTGTAGCACTTTTATCATTTAAAAAATAATGACTCAGGCACAAGCGTATAAAAGTGTTGGACAAATGTTGGCAAACGGCAACTACTGTTGTTGTTGTTGTTGTTCTTAACCAGGTCCAGGATGTATAAGGCGCAGGACCAATGACGTAGTGCTACCGACAATATGCAGATTCAGTGTTATGATATGCGATTTTACTGAAATTAATTGCAGTGCTTAATATTTTCGAACTTAAGTAAGTTGAAACTTTGATAGTTTTCTATTCATGCATTCTCTTTCTGCTTCCTAAGCGGTACCTGTGATCCATTTATGAAATACGTCCCTAAAATAGAATTATATATCTACAGGGTCATGTTGTTGGTAAAATATCTGTGACATTAAAGGAGAAGGATCTGAATCATCCCTGTGAGTGGATTATCAGAGAACTGCGATGCCTCAAGTTCGATCCCCGAACCCTTTACCTAGAATATGATCGAAATCTTCATTGACATCTATCCGAAATGGCCTCTGTCAGGTCATAGAAACTGATCTATTATGTCGTTATCAGTGTTATTGTGAATGTTTGTAGCATTTTGTGAAAAGTATAAAGTAAAACTTTAAGAACCTAATCCGAACGTTCGACGCAAAAGATCAGATAGCCGTAGGACATTTTAGCAATTCATAGAGTCAGATCATCTGCTCAAGGCCAGTTTTTGTATGCTTATGTTTTTATTTTTTATCTATTTTTTATTATCTCGTTTTACAATTATCTAGAGACAGCCTCTCGTTTGAATGTCATACTCGGATCTATCAATAGCCACATTGACACCCACCTGTCAACACCTCTCTCACAGTTTAGTCGTCCTTATTTGACCGCCTGTCGGCTTAGCGTCAATATAACACCATTTTGCCATTCATTACATCACGCATATCTACGTTAACCGTTGCGTGTTCATCGAAGAGAGCTTTCGATGCAGTTTTTTACGTTCTACTTGCAAGATAGAATAAAAATAACCTTATCGAAGACAGCGAGCACGTATGAAAACACTGCTATGATGTACAGTAAAATAGCCATGATTTTTCAAATGTTAAATTTCACCCATTATCGTCTGCTATTTTATTACCGAAGAGCTGGGACGCCCCAAGTACTTTGTGTTCGAGGTGGGTCCGCCGCTCTTACTGCGTCATCTGCCAGTGCGATAATAATAATAAAACACTGTCTAGAGATTTTCTCGGATTGTGCTTTCCAGAAGGGCCAAGCACTTCCTATTGCACACTATTTAAATTTCTTCATAGAGCAGTGAATCCTGTGTGCCAGCCAAGATTAAGATAAATTAAATGATAATATCCTCTGTTGTTTTTTTTATCTGCTCCACATTTATGCGCAATTCATTTTGTGTCTTGTTCCGGTTCTGCACAATTCTCTAGCTATAGGTTTTACATAAGAGCACAATATACTGACGCCAGGATTTTGCAATTACTACGTAAGTTAGTTAATAAATATTTTTGGGTTCTACCTGCACGAAAGCCTAAAAGTTCATTTGCTCGCAGTGATGCTTTTGCAGCAATATCGTCACGTTCATATTGTGCTCTTATAAGGTCGTAGTAATTGTGTTGATTTAAATCTTGTGCATTGCCGATCTTTTTTGGACGAGTTTATACAATGCTCATGCTCGACGCTACTAGGGGTCACGATGCATGTTTAGATATCAAACTAGCGGAAATTGGATTTTGGATAGAAATTGGAAAATTGGGTTGCCACATCGGCAATCCTTGTGGAAATACTGACGCTGTTCTATCTCTTGATGTACCGAATTTTACGTCTGGTATTGCCATTGGCCCTTTCCATCAGACGGCTGGCTCCCAGCACGAAATGACGCTGCAATATCTAGCATGGCTTAACGCAAATCCCCAACTCTAACATAAGACGGTTCCTATACTTTTTCATATACTTAAGGATCTTTTTCGATTCTTCATCAGTAACTGTCTTAAAGTTATAGCGGAAGTTAAATGAATAGGGTCAACGAGTAGCGGCTGGTTGTGGTAGGAGCCCCAACGCTATTCACTCTCTAAAAACTTTAGGATACAGAATTTTTGCGATTTTGTTGAATTGCGAACTATTTAGTTAGAAATTAATTGATTCCATAGCACTTCAATTAATTCTATCAAATGAGTTTATATATGCGATAAAGGTAAAATAATAGTGAAAGTTCTCAAATAAAATTTCTCGAATCCTCTGTATCGATCTATTCTGTCATCACGATTTAGCGTTAACTAACCCCTCCGATCGAGCTTCGTAAAGATTTCAATCAGGATAAGATTTGAAAAGCTTTAAAAGAAAGAACTTGATCCGGATTTCGGACGGGTTTCGTTGTGAGTCCGATGGCGGTTTTATTAACTGCATCAATTAAAGCTTAGACAAATAAAGTAAGTAAAAAAAAAAATAAATTGGGACTCTTAGCTACTACCTATTGTATTTGATCATCTCTTGCGCTGGAAGTTTCAGTGGGCCATCAATCGGTCGTCGCAATATAACAGGATAAGTCGTGGCATAATCTGCCATTGACAGTGTATGAAGCTGCTAGACAATAAGCAATAGATGGTTTTAACGTGAAACAGCATCACTGGAATACCGCTTTCGTTACTGTGTAATTATTAGCATTAGTTATTTTGAAAATGAACTCGAATATTGTGTTTTATTTATTGTGAGCCTTTACGCTGCGTCCTATTCTTGCCTGCGAGAAGGGCTACCACTTGTCTCAAAACGTTTTTAGTGAAGAGACTGACAAATGGCGTCACATCTTAGAGCGTGCGAGAGATTTTTTAAAAATTTATTTTTATATTCTTCTTATTGTGTTACTCTCTGGCTCTGAATACAGGACACAATTGTATGCAGCGGACGTACTGCAGCTAGCTGCAAAGTTGATTTTTTTTAATACACTATATCTATTTTACTCTACAGAACTGGTATTTTTTTTTCTTTGACACAGCTTTATGTTCTGTCGGTTTCTGCTTGATTTACTTAATGGTATAGGTGTTGGCCATGGAACAAAGTACATTAAAATAGTCAGGTTTCCAAGCGACACTAGGCAAATTTGGTTGTTTAAAAGGTGCCTATTAGGTCAAATGTATTTTCAGGCATCCCTATAACGATTATGACATCAACTCTTTTAGAAACTGAAAAACTTCGATTGAATACGATCTCGGCAATAGTACACAACTGTAGGTACGTCATCGATTTAGGCCAAGCCGATAGGATATAGTGTGTTTTGGATATTTTATCGAAATCGATTGTTTCCTCAGTAAGTGTTTAGAGGAGGTTAAGGCACCAAGGTCCCAGCGGGAGCCGCAGCGATGGCAGTAGCAGCTATCCCAAGAGCTTTTGTTAGAGATGTCCCTTGTGGCGTCCACTCGACGGTTACAAACGCAAGTGTATTTGTTCTAGGCGCTCTTTTGCCCTGTTGTCCTGCGCACAGAAGATAAATTTCTCTATTAGTGGGCTTTGTGGTGAGGTACTATTATTTCTTTTTTTTTTTTTTTTTATGCACCTGTGAACGCGGTTTAGGAAATCTATTTTGGACTAGTCAAGATACATGCCCTACGAGTTAACTGGAAAAAAAAGTAAGTGTGTTGAATCGCAGTTTTTATCCACGGAAAACACTTACCTACCCGTTAGGGGGTTTCTGGAGTTTTCGACTTCGTCTAGAGTAAAGCATTGACTGCGTAGATCTGCTGAAGTTGTCTATTATACCTTTCATCAATTTTTGGAGTTATTCAACATCGATATTGCAGTTTCGACCGACCGACCGGCTGGAAAGTTTGACAGCAAAAACTATGAAACGAACAGTAATTGTATACGCTCTTCTGGCGGGGGCCGTATCAGCAGACGTCACATCAGATCAAAATGTTTATCGTAAGTAAACTAGTGATAGTATAAGTTGAGCGCACTAGCTCAATTTAGCCAGCTGACCGTTTTCAGTTGATACGAAGCGACTTATTTTATCTTGCTATTTGTAACTTGTAACCCAAAGATGACGGTGCTATTAAAATGCGATTTACTTTTTGGCACAGACTATCTCGAAACGCGGTGCGGCCTTGTAGACGCGGTAGTGGTCGATACGGTGATGACAATTCAGCTTAGAGATAACACGCACCCCATTGAAGCTCGGCCAGAATGTCGAAGTTTCATCGAGTTCAAAGCAAAAAAGAACTACAGTCTGCAAGCAACAATACGGAACCTCCACTTAACCGAAAGTTCGCCCCAGAAGTTGTGTTTGACTCATTTCTTAATGGTGAGGAAAAGTTACCAAGTCAATAGAACTAATCTCTATTAGAAACGATTATTTAAAGGTAGCCGAGATAATCTGTATAAATATTACGGGGCATGCTACTATAGAAATGCGTGGTTAACTCTCAGTTTCGTTGAAGATACAACCATGGCCGTCGAAGTATTTAAAACTTCCACCCTGTCTAAATGTTTCTTCTCAAATTATGGTGTGCTATTGTAGACGGTACAGAGGTGATCCGGCCATTCACTGCCTCGGTCATAGTGGTCCGCGTGCAAGCCATAAAACCTATTGCCAAAAAACCCTTTAGAATGGGTTACTCGAACCCCTGATGAAAAGTATCAAGGTCTCATGCAGTTTAGACACTTATTTAGCGCCGGTTACGTACTATGGTATATAAACTGCAACAATCCATTACCTTGTCCTGTACCATTCCGAAACGCAGGTGGTTAATGCATTAAAGAACGAAACGCATCGTATGTGCCATTATCACGGACCTCTCAAGGTACGTTTCCATTCAACAATTTCTCACATATATTTAGGGAAAGGCAAGTCTATGTGCAAGGGACTATATGGGACACTGCGTCTTTTCTAGCAGAGAAACGTTGATGTAAAATTTTCGCTTCCTCTCGCTTTTCCTAAAGAGCTACCTTCGAGGGCAAACTAAAGAAGTTATATTACACCAGATGACATAGGGATAAGTAGGTCATTGTTTTCGGGCTTAGATAAAACTGAGTACTATTGATGTTAATTCTACAGATAAAATTTAAAGATATATATGGTCTCAGGGCACAGTAGGAACCTGTGTATGTGTATTATTATCACTATATAAAAGCATTGTTGTCTATAGCCATAATCGCAGCTTTCTCTACGTAGAAAAGCATTTTCTTTTTAGCCTTGCATTAAAATCATTAATGGCCCACTTAACCCAGTGGCACATATAGCTATAGCTTACATATATATATATATATAATGTATGTATTACATATATATATATATAATACACATGGGCTAAATGTATCAATGATACAAATGTTGGAAGGTGACGTTTTATCGAAAATGTACTAATTGTAGCTAAGCCCATTTAGGCAGCAGGACAGAAGAGTTTTTTGAAGAATATTCGGCCCATATAGTCCCACTACACCCTTTCCTGTATATGTATATATATATATATGTATGTATATATGTACAATTCGTACATTACTAACTATAGGGACGTATATCTATATATATATATATATTCGTATAGCTGTCTTCCCGCAATCGTTTATCTAACTAACACAGAATTATGGCCTGCACATATAGCGCATAGCGCAAAAATGACAAAGCTTTTTGGGCGACCATTCATGACTTACGATTTTCAAGATCATTCGTGTAGATTGATATTTTTATAAACAAAGAGTTAAATAGTTTTATGTATTTGATAAATGGGTTTACGCTTTAAAAGACCGTCAACGACGGTTACAATGGTACCAGTTTACCTTATCAGATCTTTTCCTTATCAGAGAGGCGTGAGAATATCGAAACTGCTTTAGAATTTTTGGTAAGACCTTATATTTGCCTACACCAGGACGTACTTTTTGCAGCAGTAGCGATTTATGAAGACTCCAAATCATTAACTGATCGTTAAATTAAACATTTTATTTATTCAAAGGCCGGGGAAGTTGGCCAGTTTTTTGGGAACGAGCTGAACTTCTTCTACACACGGAAGGAAGAACTGAAGCCCGAGCACGACATGGAAATCACCGTTACCAGCATCATCCAAGCGGGTACTTGTAGTCCAAATAATATCACACGCCGATGATAACTATTATTACAGGGAAACGGTATTTTTGCGTGTAAACACCATAATTTTATGCCATTATCTTCATCCATATGGGAATTTACCTATTCATAGTAAAGGCACTGTAAAAGCAACGTCACTTAAGACTCAACTGTACCCGTACTACGATAACGCCTACATACAAGGGCCGCACTACTAATGATTAAAAAAATACACCGGTATAATTTATAATTTATTAATAATAATAATAATAATAATAATAATATTTTATAATAATAATAATAATTTATTCAATTTTATATACAAATGGGAGAGATATTTACAATGGAATCGGGTGACAAAACTTCCGGGTTTCGTTAGTTATGATTCCTAGTGCCTTTCTCTTACATTTGTAGAACACTTCAGCTGGAGCAGAGGTTCATTTGAGCAACAATAATTAGCCAGGCTTGGCGCGATCTTTCTCAGATAGTTGCACTTTTTAAAGTAAAACAAGCCTACTTCCATATTTATCCATTACGTCCATCTCTCCACTCATAGATAGCCACAATGACCTATTTGCGATCATCCTGCCGTATCGCTCCGCTTGGTAGGGTGGATGCGTGCGAGAATACCGCGCGTTGCCGTATTTACGCTGGTAGTAGTAGTAGTCGGTGTCTCAAGAGTCCAGCGAAAATCTGGCAAGATCCCATAGCCCATAGAGGACCTCCCATAATAAGGCCCTTTAGCTTTTTAACTAGTTAGTTTTGACACCCGGTCGGCTAGCTCGTAAGCACTTCGTCGAAACCTGAGAACTCGCGTCTGCCACCTCTATCTTATCATATGCTCCCCTTCGCTCCATGTGCGATGAATCATTGACAAATTCTTAATTTGGTTATGCGTATGAAGTAATCAGTCATTGCATCAATAACACTTCGCCTTTTTCTACCTCTACATTTTGCCTAGATTCTACGACGGATTGCCCAGATAATATGTTCAAATGCATTAAAAGCCAAATTTGTGTACCCGAGACCTCAAGATGCGACGGAGCTTTTAATTGCGGGGACTATTCCGATGAAAGGGATTGTGGTATGAACGCATCTGTCACGGGGAACCCTAATACAGAAGCACCAAGAGTCGTCGTTGTACAAAAGTCTAAAATGGCGGCCGCTGATGGTAAGTTCTACCGAAGAACCCCTCCGACATGATGCGATTTCTCATAAATGTCCTTATTTCGATTGGACACCTCTATGAGTATAAATGAACATACGTAAGCAGTTCTTCGAAACGCCATTGAAAAGTCACAGTATAAGTAGGTTTAACATGCAGTAGCACATTGGTCATCATTTAAAGAGGCAACTTGCTTGGTTCCTCTACACAGATTGCGGGCTGAATGATACATTTACGAATAGTTGTTCTATATCGTGGTGGAACGATTACGTAACTTAGAGCTAGAAGTTTCAACAAACTGCGGAAAGAATTTGAAAATAGCACCGTTTTTCCGTACTATATTGATATACTCACTAATATCAGTGAAGAAAGCTATGGCTAAAAATCAAAAACGTTTCATAATTCTATATCATGATTAAGTTTCACATAGCTTTCCGCCACGAACAGCGGACGTTCTAAAATCTGGTAACCGCTTCTTGGTAACGACTCTTTGAAGCGACTCCTCGATGCACTAATAGTATATTTAGAGTCGAAGTTGCTTCTAATTAAAATAGATAACTTTCATTTACAGATTTTGATCATGTGTCTCTTTTCTTTAAATTTTATCTTGCATCAAAATCGGGCTCCTATTCAAATAATCAGATGCAATTGTACCTACATATGCACTTCATTGCTAGACATACGTCACAATGGGGTTCAGCTAGCTTATGCAATAGTAGAGACCTTACTGCTTCCATCGGGACCACTAAATTCTATAGGACGGGAAGCACTTAACAAAACTTAGCGCTTGAATGGTTGATAAACAAAAACCCTTAGAAGGGAGAAAGGCGGGTAAATTTTAGGATACGTAATATGCTGTCCACGACATTAGCCAATGTCCAAGAGAGGTCAAAGGTTTCGTCTGCTTGCCGATTTATTTAAAACGCATGTAGTGAGACATGAAGGTTAGAGAGGTTTATTCTAAGCTTCATATTTGAGCTACAGGGGGCGGAAACAGTACGTTCTATTCGGTGAAACTTCTGAAACCAGAAGCGTCGTAAGTCATTGGCTCAGAAAATTTCGGGAAGGAAATTTCTCGATCAGAAGTGAACCTCGTTGAAGACCTCTGACGAATATGAATAATGGACAGCTGTGATCGAAGTCGACGTATCTCGAATTCAATCCTCAGTTTTGGTCAATGTAAAAATACCTCAGTCAAATTATTCGAAATTAAATTGGCCACATAACTTGAACGGGGATTAAAAGTAAATGCCTAGTAACGCTTGTCTCTCCTTTATCTCATTTTACAACAGCTGTCCATTGTTGCACCGAATGATAACTGATGTTGAAAAAAAAAAGGTGTTGTAAAATAGTGACCATACAACCACATCAGCGGCGGATATAACTAAATAAAAAGGGGAAATCAGCTCAGAGAAAATGCAGCAGAAACAGCCGTAAAAACTAGTTGTGTCTATCTAGTGATCTAATGCAGGTGTGATCCACTAAAGCTTTTTGAGTTCTGGATGGCCGGTTATAGCTGAGGTGTACTGTCAACGACTGGAAACGATACTGAATAAATCCCGCATTACGCAATCAAGATTTGTATATGGAGGTAAACCATTCCTATTACAGGACAACGCCGACAGGACTCTACACCGTAAGAATCATGGTGGCAAAAATTCAATGGAGGGTAATTGAACGCTCTCTGTCATTCGCCATACTTGCCAAATGCTGATGTAAAATTTCTCAATAGGAGTCTTATTCAAATCTTAGCATGCTGCCAAAACCTTATACCCCAGAGTGACAGAGCAATCGATAAGTTACTATTTACATAGGAAGGTTTGAGATTACCAGTAATGATTTAGTTAAAAATAAAGCAACTAACCCTGTAAAAAGTTCGACAAGTTAGAGTTCACTGTGTCACACTTTGCACGACACTATAATAAGTGAGTCATAATGACAAAAAAGCTTTGGGAAGGTGTAACATGAACACGCTTTTTTATCGTTTGTTTTTACCAAGTTTAAACTAAGTTTAGCCCGCAAACTGATGCTTGTTATACACTCATGTACTTTATATTTTAAAAGAAGTCTTGGGTATACGGAGTGGATTTGTTCCGTTGTGTTTTGGCAACCTTTTTGGCTCGATTTTGAGGGAACGACCAGACATGACATCAAAATTGCATATGAAACGGCTCTAGGGTGGTTAAAATAAATATTAACAATCCAGTCATAACGGAGAAGTACTAAAAAAAAAAAAAAAAAAATAGATGTATCCTAACAGAGAGAACAAAAGCCTTTTTTAGGAGTAAAAACTCTAAGAATAAAAAAAACTGTAAGCTTCAGACCGAAAAACTTCGAGCAGCTGTGTACCGAGTATGCGCCTGCGCCGAGCTGAAAACCTAGTCACTTAACGTGAGCTTCGTCCAGTCGGGATTAGCCTTCAATCCGGCTGTGCGCTCTGGGGTAGTCGTCTTTCGAGCTGCGTGGTTTCTACGCTATTTACGCACTTATATACCAGGCGAGGCCTCCACACTAATAGGATATCGGTGTTTTACGATCGAAAACTCGGGGAAGCCAGTGTGATAATTATACGGTAATATTGAAAAGCAATCAACATAGCATTATAAAACAACGAAAATGTCATCAGGTCACCGACGATCCACCCAATAACTTTTGACAACTTGAACATGGAAATTGACAGACTAAGCAACTTACGTACACGCGCATTACTTGCTCTGCTTAACGACTTCGGGTGTCGTTTACTTTCCAGTATCAACGGCTCTTCGTTTGAGAGGCATACGAGGAAACCAGCGATCGACATACTGACGTCCAACTTGCAAATGAAAAAAATAGTTAGTCGATAAGAACATTCTGAAATGGTATGTACCAGTTAGAGTAAAACGACTGTATTTCCAGCGAGCAACAACTCTACAAAAGACAACGTCGGCCTGTCTCAGGTACTAGGCCGAACTGAACTCGGCTCCAGCTGAACACCCTGTTCCCGGTCCTATCGATTTTTACAACAAGATTTTGACCCAAATGCTGAAATAGCCTGGCGCCTATTTGAGGTCGCATCGGCCACGTCCATAATTTTACATGAGTTGTAAGCGCTGCACTGCGCTAGATTAAAGAACAGACTAAGCGTCACACGAATTTGAAGTCGCTATATAACTTCCTCGAATAGTCGAGTTGGCGTCAGCTACAGAAGGGTATGTTAGCAATGTAAATAGGAAGGAAACGAGACAAATTTCGACGCAAAGGGAGATATAGGTATCATGTCCCATTAGATCCACAGAGCTAATCGATCACGCGTCCGATTGTGTTCTCGTACGCTGGTAAATCATACTGCGCAAAACGTTGAAAGTAGAATTTTTCGTCTTTGAGCCGTTATGTTTTCTGAAGCAGCAGTCGTACGAAGCGGCAGGATCATACTCGATCCACAGTGAACACTTGAAGGGTGAGATTATTTCTCTACTGAACAAGTCTGTTCAATGTCTGCTTAAACCATGGACACGGGTCCACGAATCGAAGTTATATCCCCAAGAGAAAAAGCAATCCGTACGAGCCATCCTTATAGAAGACAACCACGAGGAAAAGCTTCTGTTACAAAACTCTTCGTTCATCTTAGCACACAGCGTCTAAGGTGAAAGATTGCTTCTATATTCCGACCAACCAGCACAGATATGGCGAGGATGCCCTTACGGCATGCAACATATGACTTTAGAAGGTGCATCAGATCTGTCGCCGATTAACATATGCACCTTATGCTGTGTTCGTGGTTTTTAAGTTGACATTTGATACAGCGGCCTGAAACAGGATTTTAGTAAAGCTTGTACAATGGGAAGTCCTTCAGGATATGCTTCATATACGCAGAACGGCCTTGATGTATGTAACTACTGAGCACATAAAGTCCCTCCATACTTTCCGTACGAATGGCGCTAGCTCTATGTAAAGTTCAAATGGTTCCGATTGCTTCTTACGAAATGAGCACCTTTCGTCCACGTAATTCAACCGTATAAAACGTGCGTCCGTAAAACGAATTATGGAACTGCACAGGCGAGTACCTAAGTTGCAAATTCAACTTTTCTGCTCCCGCTGATAGCTCTAAGTTTAGCAACACATCGAAAAGAAAGAAGGTGCATATTTTTATAACACAGGGGCGGCGGCTAATAAAGTTCGAACTGATTACGCCTTTCTTAGCACGTGGGTCTCACCACATCGTACGCCTATCGGGTTTTCGTTTATCAGTCCATGTGCTGCAGTAACTTTGCTGGACAAATCCTCTAACGGGGCACAGTAATTGTGTTTTTGTGCGCATATCATAGATATGACGATAATTCGATATACAGCGATAACTTGCAATCAGGAATTTCTCGATTGTAGTAAATGCTGTGACAAGAGAATCCCTGGGTATAAGTTACAATGGACACGTTTATCCTTTGTTTTTCCAACTATAAACTAAAGCCACTCTTATATATTTCAGGAAGCCTCTTCATAGCCTAAGAAGTATCTTGAAGAACTATACTCTCCCTGCTAAGTAACATTACATTTATAAATGAGCGTTCATCTGTTACTTTCAGATTCTACAATTCCTTTTATTTTAAAGAATTAGTATATGATTAAAATGGTTGTTGCTTTAAGTGAGACTTAACAATCCGTAGGGCTTTGGCGGAACTGTACAGTTTGTTTTTAACGGCCGCAGAACGATATTGTTTCTGTGTATATTATTTCACAGAATTGCTTTTTCGGTATAATATCAAGGATTTGTTCCTGCTAGAAGATTTGCGCAGGACAAATTTTGTTAGGTTTATTTGGGGTTTCTCCAACAAACCCACGATCTACCTTTGTCTTGTTGCCTTCAAAACCATATCAAGTCAGTCAAGGCTTTTTTTTAATAGATGCATATTAGGACACTGCAATTCAATTATACATAGAATGAAGATCGCCATTAATTAGGGCCAACACCGCGAAGTGCGAACTGATATATGAGTAATTAGTAAAAAACGCAATAATGGCTTGAAATAAAATTTCTACCAGTAAAAAATTACTACTAGAACGTATTTTTTACGATCGAGACGGCAATATTGCTATTGGATTTTCTCTTCAAATCGAAACATGGCGGGGAGATTTCCGAGAAGATTCTGTAGAGTCAGATAAACAACAGGAAGATACATTTCATTTGTTTACTCTAATTGCAATAGTTCGCTATGACATAATAGTTACACGAGCGCTTCTCTTCTATTCGTTTTTTTTTCTGAATTCCAGTTGATCTCTTAGGCTACACAATACTAACTGTCCCTTTTGGCCTTTCTTTATATTAAGTAGGTACAAAAAGCCTGAACAAAACCTCCATAGTAATCATCGGAGTGGGTCTAGGTCTAATGCTCATTTGTTTCGTGGCTGTCTTTGCTTTGATTACCGTTCGAAGGATACGCAAAAGGAACGATTTCCAGCCGGTAAGTTAACATGGAAGCCATGTTTTTTAATCGACTGTTATTCTTATATTATATACCAAGTGTACTATATTTACGATAGTATATTAGTATTGATATACGGAGCTTTTATGATGTAACAAATAGCACGAACGGAAATAAGGCTTACAGGTTAATTTCAAGTATTTCTTGTTTTTCTGTGCCTTGATGCCTATGATTAATATGCCGGGAACTCGTTTGACTTCGACAATAATCATTGCAGAAGTTGTTCTAAGCATTAGTTCTGTCACCTGTTTATGAATCAGCTATTAATTTTTGATCGGAACTTTTAACTTTCAAAATTTTGTTCTGTAAACCTATTTTCTCTAAAGTTCCTGTTCTATTCTATAAGCTCTATAAGGCTTTTCAAGTCACCTAATCTATGTGATGCGAAAGCGACTATTATTATTATAGCATCTATTATATAATATTATAAAATATATATATTATACAATACCAATTTTGGGGTTGCTATTGCTTATTTTAGTGTAGCAGATATACACTGACAGCAAATATTTTGCGATTAATAATTTGAGATAAGCTGCTTACAAACAAACTACATACTCATTACAAGATCAAATAGCATTCATAGCTTGGGAATTATAATTTGGGAAATAGATAGGCGCAGTGTACATTTTATTAGGATTATACCTGAAATTGCAAAAAAAAAAAAAAAAGAAAACCCTAAATATAATCACTATTTCACTTGCTTACTGGGCGAGACATCTAATGTGGCGTGGTAATCTCGATGGCAACATTGCTTCTGTGACGAACAGGGGATTCTGGCCTGGACTCCCATGGTGCGCTTATCTATTTCTTTGGGCCAATGTTATTTCAAGATTTCGCCCCCAATAGGAAACAGTAACGTAAATTGTTGATATAATACAGGTATTCGTCCAGGACACGCGACCTCCGCAACAGGAGACAAGTGTAGCCACGAATCAAGAGATCGATCAAGACTCGGGTATTAATGTCGCACTCAGAACCGATGTCGTCTAGTTAAGGTAGCGGTTGGAACGTCTCGTGTGAGGGCGTTCCTTATCGGGAGCTGACGCTCCACGTTATCAGGATCTTCATAATCGGCCTAGGACTGGCCGATTCACTCTGGGTTTGATTGGCCCGCAAAGGAAATCATTTGACAAGCACTATCAGAATCGCTCAGTTAGATTTAGAAAAATCTTTGAGGAGTTACCGCCTGTTATTAGCCTTTCAGGACTATTACGTGTCCGCCAAAACGTAATGATAATACTAATCACTAAGAACTTTAGGTATCGTGGGACGCGCTGGAGGCCCATAGCGCTGTGAAGCTGCAAAGCTTGATTCATGTTATATTTTGGTCTTCCAAATTGGCAAGTACATCAAATCTAAGCCAAAAAGTATTGAAATTTGCTATTACTTTAGTATCACATTTGACGAATAAAAGCATAAGTTGAGCCGTTTTGAGAGACGCTGAAAATAACCAACTGTAGGGGTTGTGTAAAATGGGTGGCGTGGCTTTATTCAGGAGCGACCCGGAAAGTCAACCCAGTTTAGCTTGAAGTCCTATCAGCGCGGTCAGACTTGCAAGTGGAACCGCAGGTGGCTTCGTTGTCTGTGAAAAAATTCGCCTACAAAGGCAGAGGAAGCCTCTAAATATTTATATTTAAATATAAACGTGACGTATTAAAATAATAACATTAATGCTAATGATACAACGAAAGCACACTGGGCTTGATTGACCTGACTTGTTTTTAATGTATTTCTTTTAGTTGTGTGAAGCGTCACGGATGTTAAGACAGGAATAAAATTTTTTGTACGCTGTTCGGTTCGAAGGCTTTTTTTTTTTGGCCTTGCTGTAAGAATAATTTATACAGTCCTGAAATTTGTCCGCTGAAAGTCTGCTCTAACAAAAAAATAAGGCAGTTTGAATGTTTTCAACAGTTGCTTAAAAAAGTTAGTGTCACATAGCAGGGTACAACCTTCCAGAAGCTTAATACATTTGAGGAGCCTGTTTTTGCAGGCTTACCTTCCGAGAATCATGTCAGGGGACCACAAACCCTAAACACGGAAAGCTTTCAAATAGGGCTCTTGTTTGAGTTGTCCAAATAGTTGATAGCCGCTGAAGGCTAGGTCGAATGAATAGGGTAGATTTTAAAACATACCGAACTTCGAAACTTTTAATTTGATACTCACGAGGACAAGCCTAGACGCGGGAATGCCTCTAGCAATGGCCCTTACCCTTTTTTCTCAGGCCGCGCAAATCTAAGAAATGTGTAATAGTCGCCTTCGATAACATTATCGCTAAGCTGGGTAAATAGTTGCTCAGGGTGTGTAAAAAAGAAACAGCTATAATCTAAATATTCTTATCTATGTAAATATTAAGTTGAGTTAACTCAAACGCCCCCCCCCCCCCCAGTTTGCTAAAAGGATACACATGTGTTATACTATCGGAGTATAATTATTGATATATAAACATGGCACGGTCCTACGTTGAGTACAATAATGTACTAGGGTTAGCTGGTGCAGTATATATATATATATATATATATATATACAGCAGAAAACAAAGAACAACTTTTTGGCGCTAGTGTATTATTCATTTGATTACCTAATTTGCTGTATCAGGTGATCTGACCACACAGACACTGATCGTGCCCTTCTACTTCTTCCGTTACCTTCGGCCAGACATATCTTTCATTAGACCCGAGCAGTGCTCGATAGATCTAGCCTACATCGACAGCTACGAGTCCATGTAAATAATCGATTGGAGCGTTTTCTAATCGATTCAGGTTCTTATAATGTCAAAATACAACTCAGCTTCAAATTGAGTACGTCCAAAAAAATGATCCATCTTTGTTCCGCGCCATTTTTCCATTCGCTGGAATATTTATATAGATTTAGCATGACCGCAAGCTATGGCCTCTGTGATTTCAGTGTCACTAGTTTGCCTTCTTAGCACCATCATTTTATTACTATTCTTTGACAAGTCTGCTAATTAATGGCCACTGCTGGCAGTCTTTTTCGCTTCGAGAGGATTTGACAGAATTCCTCAAGATTCAGTTTCCAACGGAGCTAAGTCCACCTTGGGTTAAATCGATATCCCTAACAAGGAAATTTATTTTTAATTTAACAAAAATTTCCGAATGCCCCGGGATATTATGCAATAAGTCCAACGCATAAAAAGAGAATCATAACGAAGATATTCGTGTTTTATGCTGTCAGAAAAAAATTTACAAGCATTTTAGGCGACAGCATCGTCCGCACTACATTTAATATAGTATTTTTATATATTGTACGATAAGGCAAATTTTTAGAATCCTACAAATAGGATTTCAATACGCACATGCTAGAAATACGTGAAAAAGCCCCAAGCTTTAGCCGAGTTTGTTAAAGTGAATCTTCATTTTAAAGGTTTAATGGGTGAATTCTGTTTAGACTGGTGTTGATTTGCCACGGTCGTATTGTTGTCGAGGCTTTGGGCCGCATTCCCTAATCAAGATCAGGCCTTCTTTTCTTTCCTTGTGGTTCTGCATCGGTGCTTGTCATTTTAATAATAATATTACTATTGTATTATACTTCTACTAAGTGGCTTTTTCTCCCAAGTCCACTTAGCTCATGCTTGCATAGATTCCTTTATAAGGGCAGATTTATCAAAGTGTCCTCCCAGTACGTTTTGCCAATAGAATTGATCTTTCATAAACCCTCGTTGATGTAATTGCGTCTGAAGTGTGCGCTATTGTTCTATATGTGATTACTTCATGTGTGTTAGGCTGACATTGACTTATCCCTAAGAAGAATTTTAATAGTATCCATTGCAAGTTCGCTCGGTTTGATCAGAACCAGTGGCATGTTACCGAGAAGTTGGTCGGAGCACTAAGGTAACGAGTGCACGAGTTCAAGTCGGATGGGGCGTTTCTCTCAGCTCATGAAGATCTGAGTCTGCGTTTCCATAGCAACGCAATTCGCGGGCAGGAGGTAGGTGGGGCGGGTAAAATCATAGCTCGAACAGTAAAAGATGACCAAGTCCAATCAAGATAGCTTAGAAACACTAAGCGAGTTAGAAAGATTGATTCACATTGAGCTTGACTATCAATACGTAGTTAAATCATAAGTAAATGAGCATACGACTACCGTAAAGTAGTATACCGTACGGCGAAACGAAACCGTTGTAGTAATACCTATCACTGTTTAAAATTTACAAACATTGCTCGGTGGCATAAAAAATTGTGTAAAACGAACATATATATATATATATATATATATATGCGCCATAATGGGTCGATCTAATTTTTACTTACTAAGAGTACTAGTCAGCTCTGTTACGGTTTTTTCCGCGATAGATTCGACCGTTAGGACGGATTGGCCGCTAAAATGCCAATCAGACCCACTCACTGGGTACAACATGAATACAAAATTGAAACATAGCTAGGCGTTTAGGAAGAGAATTCAAGTGCCTCGCACCTTTTTTGCAATGCCCTCTGCACTAGGACTCTCTAATGATTAACGATCTACGCGACAGGACACAGTAATGCCACAGCATGTTCTACTAATGTTAACCTTTGCTGAGGTAGCTGGCCACCGAAACGATTGTCATGTGATCCGTGCCATTATTTACGCTAGGCTAAGGCACGTCTCCTTCCAGTTGGAAGATTTCTATGATATAATATAAGTAAGCACTTCTGACAAAGACGCCGTTGCGGTAAAATAATGGAGGGCATGATTAAGGCTGAACTCCTCTTTGTTCAATAACTGCCCTTCGAACCCTTAGCTAATATGTCAGATTGTCGTATACTAGCGAAGTGAAAATATGCCTAGATAGAATAGAATTGCGATACAAATATATGTCCGTTCGCTCGTCGTAAGCCCATGTTCTTAGATATTAAATAGGACACCGACGCCAGTGAAGTAACTACCGTTTGACGTATACTCAGGCGTGTTATTGGACTTTGTCTTTGCAAAACTGTCGCCCAAAGGCAGAGATCGCGGCTAAACGAACTAGTTCTGTACGTGAGCTGTGGCCGATTGCGTTACGCCGCCATGATGACCATCTTGGTAACGTGGTGGGATCGAGCGAAGTGACTGCTTCTTTAGGAGGTGGTGGCGGTGACAGCGGCCAGGTACTTGTTTACATGGGTGGAATTTTATGACATGGTAACCCAAGAGAAGGAACAGATTTACTCTTTGGCTAATAATCCCTAGCAGCTAGCAAGCTGTTGTAGTGGCTTACTAACACGCGATTGAACGAGTGAAAGAGCTCGACCGGATACACCCTAGCCTATTGTCGCTGTTTTCGCGCGCGCCGACCTAAGCAGACGCCAGTTCTTGTCGTCAACGCGTTCGATCTCGTAGTTGCCGTCGTGCCTGCGGCAGCCTGCGGTGCTGGCCGATAATAGTGGCCACTCATCGGTCTTCCGCTCGCATCGGCCTTCGTCGGCAACAGCACAGACAGCGCAGCGCCCGTGAGCGACCGTCAGCAACGGCCGACAACGTCGGAGAAGTGGCGAGGGAAGCGGCGCTAGGAAACGCCGGGCTGTGTTACCCTGCGTTGCACAGTTAGTCAACGCAACAGCAGCTTCCGCCGCTAACGGAAGAGCTGCTCGAACAACTGCAGAACCTTCGACCGAAAGAGTTCCACCGCCATAACACCAATCGGACCGCTTGGGGCTAAGCTTTTGTCAATGACGACTTGGTTGGCAACGGCCGTTGCCGCCGTGCTCGCTGCTGCTTCGGTGGCCAGTTACAGGGGCAGGACGACCGACACAAACGAACGGATTTGACGAGCTAAACCAGACGAGCAACCACCGAAAAGTTGCTGCGCGTCCCTGTCGCCCGTTTCTGCTATCGTACAATTGCCGCTAGTGGCGATCGTACAATTAACAGTGCTACCTACTGGCGTGCTGCCTGCACCGCCTGAACAATGTGTCTGCGCTGTTGTATGATAGTTGTTGTACGTTCCCACTTGACGACACACGGCGGCAACGGCGGCGGTGACCAGTGAACAGTCAACAGTCGGAGTGTGGGTGTATGTATGTGTTTGAGTAAGGACGCGCGAGCAGCAGGACCCGCCGAGACCTTAGTCTGCTTTGCGCTACCATCGTTTTGGTTTCCATTCGTCAGGTAGAAGATAGAGACCGCTGTCGTTGACTTCCGTGAGACATTCTTTCGTTCGTTCGTTCGTTTGCTAGTTGGCCATGAGAGCCTATGAGCGATCAGCACCGCCAGAAGCAATAAAGTCAAGTTAAGAAGTCCTGAAAGCGTTTTCGTCCCTCTGCCGGTCCCTGCTTTTGTTCGTGTAACAGAATTTTAAAATCTCACCATACCTGTGTTTTATATTTGGGAAAGTTCAGTTTGCAGAAGCAGACATTAATGGACGCTTATCGGCATGCAGAAAGGTAGCTTTAGCACTGCCAGTCAGCTAACAAGTAGAAGCTATGGCGACAACCGTGGTCAGAAATGATTTACTACATGGCTTCAATGTATAGAAAGTACAGGACGGTTTAGTGCAATAAGAGAGTAGCCTAACGTTCCCTTCTCGTCTTCTTTACACTTAGAAGGCTAAAAAAAAAAAAGCTAGAAACAATAATCGGCAGACTGGCCACAACACCGGACAGATCTCATCTACAAAAATTTCCGAGTACGACATTCCGTAACATCCTGAATGAGGGTTCAAGAGGAGCCATGGAAAGATACACACGCCTGAATATAACAGTCCTGGATCAGTACTTGACAGTTATAAGTTAGACACGTTGCCTACGACAGACTTGACGATCTGACGGGTTTCATCTGAAGAACGTATCCGAAGCCTAATAAGAAGTCTTGAGCAGTATAGCT